ATTAAATCAATTTAAAATTCCCATGTTATTCTTATGGAGAATTTAACTTAGTTAACTGTTGTGTAGTTTGCTTGTTTATGGATAAATTTAGATCATACTTGGCAAATTTATTTACCGTAGGCCTATTTAATACTAAGCTATCCATATTTCACTATGAACACACTTATTTACCATCTCTACTTATTTACCCAATCTTATAGATTTAATTTAAAATTCAATATTGGTAAATTGAAATTTGCATAGTCTGCATGTTTGCTGCGGGGGGGATTTATTTTGATCTCTCATTTCTTAACACAAACAAACAGTTCAACAAGAAAACAGTCCGCTACTAGCACAAAGCATTTGTCTCCGCACGTAAACTGACTGTTTATCCCAATAGTAGATGCGCGAGCATCCATAGTGGCGGCCACTGGTGGCTTTGTCTGAAGGCTCCCATTTATTATCGCTTGTCAATGTTCCGCGACGAGTTGCCGCCACTCCGGTTGCCAGCGATTACCAGCAAGCAGTTGCACGAGGAGACACTGCTCGGCCACTGTCCTGGTTGGCAACCAGTGGCGGACATTGGTGGCCACCACCAGTGGCCTCGTGTGATAGGACCCTAAGACTGAGTGACAGCTTGAGCATCACTAATCGTATGTGTGTGTCTAGACTTGTTTCAATGGATACCAAGCCTGGAGCGACAATTAAGTCGCAGAGCTGTCTCTGGTAAATTGGGTCCAGGAACAACAGTTGCGGGACTTTCCCTCGAAACTGTTTTCTTAGTGTGCGCACCCCAATTTAACTAGGCTTTTAACTAGGCCTCCTTAGTATTTAACTAGACCTAATATGTATATCTTCTTGACAGGTCTTATGTATAAATCACCAAAATATTAGCTAACTCTCATTTTGGTGTTTCAGGTACCTACAATGTGGATAGTAGGCACACCTCTATACAGGTAAGTGAGCATGCTTTTGTAGTACTCTTAAACAGCAGATTTTCTGAGAGAACCAAATATTTGTATTTTGTAATGCATTTCCTCTTCTTTGAACTTCAGGAAATCTTCAGCAGCACTACAGAAGAAAACAATTGACACTCTGATCCCCTGTTAGGTTTTGCTTCGTTTTAGGTTGACATTATGTCTGACTTTTAATCACTGTAGGCTATTTATTAGACATCATTCTTACAGTTGGCCTAGTCATCGAATAAAAATAAAACATTTCCGGTTTGAAATAGGTTTAAAATTCTTTTAGTCAAGCTATGTAACTATTTAAACAGCTTTAAGGTTAGACATTTTAGTTGAGTGTTTAAAAATACTTAGGCTACCCTAGTCTATAGTGTAACTTAATAGACATGTTAAGATTGGTTAATTTCCAATACGCTTTTTGCTTTTGGTGTTAAATTTTCTACTTTTCAATATTCCAGAAAGTTTTCACGGTCGGGCATGGTAACATTTTTGAAGACTAGCCTATAAGTTGATTACCGGATAATTAACCTTATTATCGTATGGAATGTAAAAATTAGAGTAGGCCTACATGAATTCTATTTAAAATTCATAATTTATTTTGTGTTAGGGAATTTTTAGTGAGGGAATTTGAAGATGGAGCGGGATTCCATATCTTTTATAGTGCAAAAATGTATTGTTGAGTTCTAATTGTACTCTACTCTTTTTTGTAAAATTCCCATTTTAATAAATACTTACGTTATTTAGTGTTAGGGTAAGTAGCCTACAATAGGCTAAATAATTGTCCCAGAAGATGCTGCACAGCAAGAAGTTAAGTAAAACGCTTTTCTTAGGAGAAAATATTTGGTTCTCATGAATAACTCAGAATATTGGCCTAATCCTAATACCCAAAATAATATACAAATAATAGGTAATTCAATTGTTAAATCAAGCCTGACTCTTTTTAATTTTTAACATCTCTAAACAATTTTTACCGTCTTATACTGTACAATTTACCCTGTACACTTCAATTTGGCGTAGAATACATTTTAAACTTTTATCACACTTATCAAAATCAAAATTTAACAATTTTATGAAATTGTTACAAAAATTACACCGTAAAAAATTAGTTGATTTTTAAATTATTAAATGTTTCATCAGTTTAAATATCTGTGTTTTACATTAGCTGGATGAATTCAGTTGGTTTGTCAATTATTTGGTCAGTTGTTTTCTGAGTCTGATAGTTGATTTATAGAAGTTGTCGATGATAGGGACAGGTTGATTTCAGTGTTGTCGGTTGGAATTAGACTATAATTTGTTGCTGTTGTGGTTTGGTATTTAGAGTCTTGTTGTGGGTGTCAAAAGTACGGTACACTTGAGTTCCTTAATCGAAAATTCTGGCAAAAGGTTAAAACATAAAATTTGTTATATATTTATGTAACATTTTAAAATAAAATTAATACTAATTGTGTATGTGTTCAACTATAGGAGAATGCATAAAAAAACATTTCCATAAGCTAATTCTTTACAAAAATTCTCATTTTCTCATAAAGTAAACCCTCATTAATCTTGACTTGGGTATTCAAGTTGTCTATTAATCAATTCAATATTGTTTATTCAATTCAAACACAATAACAAAGGGCATTATAACACTAACATACATAAGCCTCATAAAAGGCTTGTCCGTAGCATTTCTAGATTTAACTTAAGTGTCTTATTCACGCATCACGTTGAGTCCTTTTAAAGTGCTGTTCTGAGATTGTTTGGACAACCCTTTATAATGTAACACCTTTCATAGAAACAAAATTGAATAGTGTATACTAATTTAAAAAAGCCGAACAGTGTTCTACGAACTTTGTAACAAACGTTTTTTCATACCTCTACTCCTTCCTTAGGAAACACTTAATTTTTTCTTTAAATTGTTTATTTCATAAAATTTTCAATGGTTTCTTCCATTCTCTAACAATATGATTTTTAATAAAATTGTACATATCAAATGGCTTAGTTTCCAGTGCATAAGCTTGTTGACAATTTTACAGACTGCTAGAAAATGGCTGTTCATTGAGCCAATAGCATAGTAAAGGGGTGCATCGATTAAGGAGGGTTTACTGTATACAAACAATTTTGGGGTTTTTGGTGGGTTATGTGAACAAATACTTTAACTGAATGAATGCTTTTAAACATTTTTTCCTTGCTAATTGGGTCTAGTTTAGGTTAGTGGAACTCAAGTGTATATCTGGGTTTTGTCAGTTGTCGTTGGTTATTCTTTCTGGAAGGATATTGGTTTGATGTTAGGGTTGTTGGATGTTTTAAGGCCTATTTGGGTGGATATTGATAGTTGTCAAATTGATGAGATTGTTGATGTTTAGGGAGTCAGCTCTATGTAAACACAGTATAATGTTTTGTTTTAACTGTAGCTTAAATCAATATTTTTTTACAAGATAATAATGGTGAAATGTTAAAAAACTATACACTAAATACAATTTTAAAAGTTTTGAATGTTTTTTTTTAGCTACTGTACAGTATTTATGCCCAAGCAAGTTGAAAAAATGTAAAATTCATAAATAACCCCAAAATGGCAATTTAAAATAATAGAGTAAACACAGTATAATGTTTTGTTTTAACTGTAGCTTAAATCAATATTTTTTTACAAGATAATAATGGTGAAATGTTAAAAAACTATACACTAAATACAATTTTAAAAGTTTTGAATGTTTTTTTTTAGCTACTGTACAGTATTTATGCCCAAGCAAGTTGAAAAAATGTAAAATTCATAAATAACCCCAAAATGGCAATTTAAAATAATAGATAAGGGCTTAATTCTTTTTAATATGTTCACTGGAACAGATAGCTTAACAGAGTATCATCACAAAACTTAAACTAACCTAGATACATTTAACATAAATTCTTAAAATATTTTTATCAATTGACCTATTTATTTAGCTGATGAAGCAAGTTTAATAAGAACTTCTCTTAAGATTTGTAAAATATTGTCCAAAATTATAGTTAAATTTGATTGAGTTTGTAAACTGGAAATCTGCTGTCTTTAGAGTGCATTTGTGTGACTTCTTTGTAGACTTTATTTTTATACTTTTCAATAAATGATTTCGGTGTTTTGAATGGACAACACTCAAATGTGTCAAATGTCAAATTTGTAATTTTTACCACAAAATTGTTTATGTAAATATTTAAATCCACGGGTTTTCAAGAGATTCTTATTCACATCAACATTTCAGTGTGACCTACAGTATACTCCCTCTTATCTGGACACCTTTTAACCGGACATCGGTTTAACTGGACTACACTTGGTAGACGTGACATCTCTTAATCCGGATAATTTTTATTAGCACATTGGTTTAACCGGACTAGATCGGCAGGAAGTGGGCGGTACTGAAACGACTGTTCTCGTGGGAAAGATTTGAGACCAGTGATTACGTGTCTAAATACTATGCTCTCCTAACTTTAAGTCAAATACTGTATAGAGTATGCATTTAAACGGTCCGTCTTAACGAGATTTTGGGGACATCGGTTTAACCGGAAAAACCGTTATCTGGACTGGCCTCGGTCCCGAGGGTCCGGATAAGGGGGAGAGTCTACTGTAAAATGTAAAAAATAATCTTAACAGTAAATCTCTGTTGCTTGAAGTGTTGTCCAGTTATTACAGTAAAACTTGTTGTACCACTGTACACGTGTACAATGTTCGTGTTTTATTTATAATTACAAATGTACAATGGAAATATTACTTACTAAATGCAAATTTGTATAAGAAAGCCAGAAAGTCGTTGGTGTTTGTTGAATCATTTAATTCAACAGTTTGACCACTGATTTCACCAACTTAACCATTGAAATTCTTCCTTTAACCTGATTGTTTATTTAAGGTAAGTAAATTAGCATTTAATTTTTAAATATAATTATATTATTTACAGCAATATTTTTCATTATTTTGTCTGCTGTAAACTTTCTTTTAAGTACCTACTGTCTAGTTACTTAAGGAGATAATTTTAGCTTAATTTATTTGTTATTAGGCTACCCACATTTACCCTAAGAAGGTCCTTTCCATATCTGTAGTTTTGATTGTGTATTAATTGTTTTACTGTCAAGTAGTTTAAAAATTATTTTGATCTAATTTCATTTTAAAGAGGGACCTTTTAGGTGAATGTGTTACACCTACTAAAATATATGTAAATTTCTCCTTAGCTATATGCAATATTTAAGCATTTATTTTCATTTCTTTAGGTTTTTTGTCATAATAAAAATTTTTCTATTACTACGCTGATACTATACAGTAGGCCTAATTGTATACTAATTATTATGATAGGTTATTTTTATTACGATGCTAAGATTTCGATCATTAGATTTAAATGTGTTTTTGTTAATGTTAATATTTATCATATTCAGTAAAATATTCAAATCAAAATGTTTAAATCTTGTGTTTTAGCTTGAGAAACATATTTTACGGTCAGAATCTGTTTATAACCCACCAACAGTTAAATAACCCCATGAGCAAAAGTTAACTCATCAAAATGGAAGTTTTTCAGGCTGGATAGTTATTTCACTGTTACAATTAAAAAAATATTGTTGGCCTATTTAATATTAGGCCATTATAATAATAATTAAGGTTATGTAACTTATTTAAATAAAATATACTGACTAAACCTTACAGGTTCTAGTTGCTTTTAATATATTTTACGACAGGTAACAGATTCTGACCGGTTTGGGTTTTGTAACTTTTATTCTAGTTCCTGCAGATTCTGTGATGCTATTCGACACAGCAATGCTACAGATCTTGCCTACTACATGAAACAGGCTTTCCATATTAATATATTTTTCAGGTCTTGAAGTTTGCAGCGTTGTCTAGAATTTGTCATAGTCAAAAAATCATTTCTTTTAAAGATGCATGTGTAATTCAGACCCAAAGTGAATGAGTTTTATAGTATGTTCAATTGTTTGAAACATTTAATTGTAGTTTATTTGTTTGGATTGTAGATTGTACTGTATTTAATTGCCTGGATATTTCAAAGGTTTTCTGTTTGGTCAGCCTGACAGGTATAAAGGTATGTTTATTTTAGTTACCATTTTTATTAACCTGATAGACAAACATTTTTATTCATAAATCTTTAAAAGCTAATCAAAAAAATTTAAATGTTTGCAGTTTACTTTTGTTAGTACTGGCCCCTTAACTAAATGAGGGAAAGATTTAGATTTTATATGTTTTTAACAAAATAATATTTAATCATAATTTTTGCTACTTTACTGATTTTTTTGTGTTGAATGTGGTGTCGTTTGATAACAATAAATAATGATTAATTTAAATTGCTGTAAAAAATATGATGGACTGTAATTTTTTTGTCAACATAACATTTTAAAGCTTTCTTATGATTTGAATAAATATACATAAAATTTCTGAATTTCATTTAGAATTGTCTAACATTGGGGTTTTAAAACTAAGTACAGTATTTAGAAATAGCATTTACTATAAAATTAATTTATTAAAGTGTCATATTGTTTCTATCAATGTTGGTTGGGCATTAGATGTTTGGTCTCTTTCTACATCTAAATACAATTATTGTTGATTGGTTAAATAAAACTTGCTCACAAGATGCGATTTCCACATCTTTTAAAACCTCACATGAATTTTCAACAAAAGACTCAAAAGGAGAGCTATAATCATATTTGAAGGTGCAGTCTGAGAACACATTTCCATAATTTAGTATTTATATTGATCTTATTTAACTGTAATACCGGTATGGTATTTTAACACTTAAAAAAAATTTCCCAATAAAATCCAGTGAGCAAAAACACATATTCAAAATTAAAAATTTGTAGATGCAGGCTGCTAACATATACCAAATACTTTCATCTTCCCCTCCAAAATACTAAAGATGGAGACAAATCCTCATCTTTCCCCCCATAGTTTCCCGCTGTTTGCTGGTGGTTTGCGGTTTGCTTGCAGGTGTGAAAGGCGTGTACAAATGTCAACGTTGTCACCGTGTTTACTCCGTGCAGACAACGCTCAACCGTCATATGAGGTACGAATGTGGCGTCAACAACCTCTTCCATTGCGGCAAGTGTCCGAAGGCGTACAAACGTCGCTACTTGCTGGCTGAACATATTAACAAGTATGGCCACTATTGAGAACCCTGAAGAAGCGTGGTGTTAGGTTTAGGAAATTTGAATACGTTCCATCGATATCTATAACTACAACTGGAGCACACGCTCTGTGCTACGTGATTAGTCCAGCCGCTCGGCTCCAAATAATACTAAACTGTCTCTCATTCACATTTCATTACATCTTTTGCTTTAATATTAGGCCTACTGTCCACAATAACTGGATTTAAATGCATTACAGTTATGCATTATATCTGCATGAAACTGCAGATATAATGGTACAGGTTTTATATCAAAATAGTTTGGTGCTTATAATGACGTAAACTATACGATCTACGTACTTTTGTGGCGAGTAAAACAGTGAATCCTGCATTTAAATGGAGCAATATCAGTAAAGATACATAAGTTTTTATCAATGAAAACAAAGTAGCTTTGTATGAAGTGTATTGCTGCAGCCGTACACAGGTGGTTGGACTGATATGAGCCTAGTTTTGAGCGTTATGGCTTGCAATCCAGTCGTAGCTATAGAGATCGGTGGTTCCCTCTGAAGCTATCAGTTTTGACCAATGAATGATTTAAAAGACTATCTTTATATAAATAACGAAAAGTTGTATAACTGGAAGTTGTGACTGTAAAGTATTATAGGAGAGAATGATTAAAGACTGTCAAGCAATAACTTGTCCGGATTTGGTTGGTTTGTATGGGCTTAGGAGGGCACCTTTGAATCCTATTTAGATTTAGTCTGTTTATAAGAGGTCTCAACTCCAAAAATAAGGTTAGGTTGTGAATTTGCATTAAAATCACGTCAACTTCAAAAATAAGGTTAGGTTGTGAATTTGCATTAAAATCACTGAAGTATACGTTTTAATTATTTTACTTTGTTTTACAAGTTAATTTTAACTTGGTACTTATTAGTATTTTTATAAGACAGTATTTTAGAGTCAGTTTTTCTAATCCCTTAGTAGGCCTACTCTGTGATAAGGTTATTAAATTAGTCTGAACTAATGATAAATACTGTTGAGAGAAAACTATTTTATACTGTGTTTTCAACTATCATCAAAGTGGTTTTGCTCAAAGTAATTTCTATTTCTGTAAAAAACCAATGTAATAGGTTTCAATGAGCAAAACATTTTTAATTGTAGGTTGTAGGATTTTGATTGTGTATCATTTTGTATTTTCTAGTCCTATGTAGTCTTTTGTGTGGGTTTAGTTTGTAGTTGTTTTACTATGGTTTAATTTAAATTTAATTTAATCATTGTGTGTTTAGGAAATATTTGTATATATTACTGTTACCATTGAAAACTCCTTTTACAAGACTGATCCTTAACCACTGCAATATTTAAGACTGATATCCATTAGCAATATAAGTTACTATACTGAACAATATGTTTCAACAAATAACATTTATTGACGAGCTAAATAATTTTGTTATTGTCAAAGCCTATTGAAAAACATTTGAGTTTTATAATGGGAGTGCTTTGTTGAATTTTTACGACGCAAACATTATTATATAAAAGATAAGTAATATTCAGTATAAATTAAAAATATTCTTTAATGATTGAAACACATAATGTAATAAATAATTTGTTGATGTCTCATTTAAATTTACCATATTTTACCATTCACAAGACTGATTCAGAATTTGATATTCTGAAAATGTGTTACTTTTCTTTTAGTCCATACTGTAGTCCATTTATTAATCGTTAATGAAGCATAATAGAACATATTGTATGAAATATTTTTTACTTATTTTTTTGAGCATGATTTAGCCTACAATGATTATACAGTAGCTGGATATAATTTGTATACATTAGTTTATCCTAATTCAATTAATAAGACTGTTTACTTATCGTTAACAAATATTTGTGATTTACAAATAAATTATGTGCCATCTATACTCTTATTTATTTTACAATGTAAGTTATTTATTTACCAATAAATTACACTTTATAAATTTTGGTAGTTTTATTTAAACTTTCCTTTAATCATGTTAGTTTTTATTTAAAATCTATAAGGTTTTGGAAATCTCATTCTTACATGCCACCAAGTATTAATGTTTATCAAAAAATTTTTTTTCGGTTGAAAACCTATAGGCCTAAACAAGTTTTGAGATATGCAATTATACATATTGAAACGTTTGAAAATAAAGTTTTTGTGGCTGGTAGTGTTTATTTAAATTAAAATTTCAAATTTCAAATACAAATCGTCAATTCCAAATAAATTTGAGGTTTATTTAAACAAAGGTTTGGATGTGGAATTGAGTATGTGTGTGTTTTAAGGCTAATCACACTCAATGGCTGCTGTTAATCGTTGTCAAAAATGTTTTCATGAGTAATTTTTGATAAGACATATATTTAATTTTTCAGTGCAGCCAGTTCAAAACATTTCTTTTAAAAGAAAGTCGATACCTACCGGTATTTGGTTTAGTAGGCCTTGATACAACTTCATATAAATTATAAGGATATTTGTGGATTAGCTAATGCACTCTATACATGCACTCTATATATTTGGTTGCACAATCTTAGCAAAATTTACTCAAGAACGACCTTAGCATGTATTTATTGTGACAGCAACATATTTTTGAAACAGAAAAAAAAATGGAAAAAATATCCATGTCAAGGCATTACATGTCACGTTAGTTATCACTAATTTGAAACTATTTTAATTTCAAAGTACTTAATATATATTTTATAATTATTGAATGTGCCTCAATAACTAATTATCTTGTGATGAATAGAAGACATACTGTGTACAAATGTATACAGTATTTTATAATTACAAATATAGAAAATTTAAACAAAAAAGGAGAAATGTCTCAAGTGGAAACTGAGAGAGGAAAAATCTAAAGACATTTTTAGCATTTTATAAGCAATGTCAGACTAGCAGGTCAGATGACTTCAAGGCTTAACAGAAACTTGGATTGAAAGTCAAAATAATTTCACCCAAAACTACCAACTTTATGGGACAGATAAAAATGTGTTTCTCTAAAGCCTATCATATGATAAAAGCTTTTAGATTGCTTCAGTTACTTAGTGTATACCCATAATTCTTGGAAATGTAGAGTTAATACTTAGAGGGTAGCCTATATGGAATGTAGGTGCCTACACACAAAATTTTAATATTAAATCTTAAAATAAGTACCATTAATTTTTAATGTAAAAGGTTATAACTAATTCATAGGGTGTTTTAAAAAACACAACCCAATTTTCAAGCACTGCATAAGACTGATTGGTGACAAAATACGCTCATATGTTGGTATGCCTGTTTTCTTTACTTGCTGATTAGCTGATCCTGTATTGATGTATAGTTATCTGTGAGGTCTAATAGTGTTATTGGGAATTTATTTAGACTCAACATGGGGGTTCTGCAAGCTCAAAGTATGTATTAGGTCAAATTTTTTTTACAACAATAGATCTGGTTTTCTTAAACCTTTTTTACCAAGTCACTCTCTATAAATTGTTTATTTATTAGGTACTCGAATCACACATGGAATCTTTTCAAACCTTTCTTAGCTTAAAACCATAGATTTACTTTTAATGTATTTTACTAGGCTACAGTACATACTCTTTGACCTTACGAAAACACCATGTTGAATATTATTTACAATAAATTCCCAATAACTCTTAACCTCATATAATCATGCTACAACGCATATCAACTGATCGGTAATGAAGTAAATAAAACAGGTTTTATGAGCTTGTGTCATTAAATGGTGTCTCACAGTAATTTAATTTGGGTTGGGTTTTAAAAGAAAACACCTTGTTAACTGTTCTAATAAATGACTTCTGGAGATCTGTCATTGACACTACTTACAGTAAAACCTTAATAACAAGACTCTTATGGGGATTATCATATAAGACTTTTTGACTTCTTATTGAGGTTTGCAATAACATGTAACTAAAGGGTAAAATAAATTCAATTGGATTTGAAAATGACACTTGCCAACAAGGGTTACTTGTTATCGAGTGTCTTGTTATCAAGGTTCCAATGTATTACAATAACTGTTCTACTAAGTTGAGGTGAAGATGAAGCTAAGTGAAGGTGGGGTGAAGAAAGTTGAAGAGATGACGAGAAGAAGAATGAGAATATAATTTTTCATTGATTGATTTTATAGTCAATGTGCTTTCTTTAACACGTTCGCTGCTACAGACGTTCCGGAACGTCAAACGGGCCACGGCGCCAGGAGCTAATAAAGTTCCGGAACGTCGCCGTTCATCGATGTTTAACGTTACCATGGATCAGCCAGCTCGTCACGAGCGTCCTATATTTCTTTGCAGCTCGTGGGGATGTACTTTTTTGACAATAAAAGATATAGTTTCCCAAAATCACCACCAGGGTCGTTTAGAACAGGGCTTTGTCCCACCTCTTTCCTGCAAGATAGCGACACTACTTTACCGACTGCAACCTGGGTAGTGCTGCTATCTATCAGAATCACTTAGTACTATGTCCAAAGCCAGTTTTATTGCAGAACATTGCCATCAAACAACTACTGTTTTTACTGTAATTCAGTGTATCGGCAGCAATGTTTACGCAGTGGCGAGCGTTAGTTCAGCTCCTGGCGCTGTCCCGGCATCTAGCGGTCAGCAGCGAACGTGTTAAAGGGAATTTTGTCCCATTAAGGGGTTGTAGATGGACTGGTAGACCAAAATATGGTTAAAATGCCGTACAGTTAATGTGCTTCACTACTTACTTAAAAAAAATCTGAATGCTCCATTCAACCCAATGAAAGGTAGAAGGGGTACCCAAACAGTCCCAGAATATTGGGAAATTCCTTCATATTTAGTATATTTCACTAAATCCAGACTGTCATCAATCCAGATGCTTATCAAAGTTGGCTGACACTGTAGTTTTATGTTAGCGGTTAAGTTACCTACTGAGCTTGTATTAAGTTCAGATTTATTCTACCTATTTTATGTAGAGTATGATTTATTTCAAACAAGGAGTGCTCAAATTGTTTCCGTAAGCTACTGCCTTTCTTCATAAAAAAATTGGACTTGCATTACTTTGCACTACTTAGAACCCTAATTATTAAATTAAATGGATCCTAATCATAAATCACGCTATTTCAAAAAATACCAAACAAATGTTAAAGTCTTATGAAATTACTAGATGACCTTAAACAATAATTTTACCTACAACATATAAACTTGGATTAACCATACTTTCTCATAAATTTACCATTCAGTTCATGTTGAAGGTGTGTATAAATTTACTTGTTTTTGTTATTTCACCTATTTCAATACTGGTTCAACCAAAAATAAACGGATATAAGAATAGCTCGTCCTCTGGTTTTGGATGGTAACCACATTTCACAACCACCGGCTTTATAACCATATTTTGGATTTTTATCAATATTTTTTTTATTTTAATTTTGAAATTAACTCTTGAACTTGATTTTAAGCATTCTTTTTGTAAAATATTATACTGTAAATAACTGTATCTTTTCAAGAACAAATCATAAAGTTGTCCCAAAAATTAGAGAAAATTCTTAAGAAAATAAGCTTCACATTTTTTGAGATGAGAAGTTAACTCTTACACCTATAGTCAATCTTAAACTAAATGGTTTTATTTTCATTAGGAGTCCGCCACATTTGCCCTGATTGCAATAAATCTTACTCTCTGGCCACTAACCTGAATCGCCATCGCAAGTTCCAGTGCCGCCAACAACCCAAGTTTAAATGTCCCTTCTGCCCGCAGAGAACTTGGCTTAAGTTCAACCTTTTGCCTCACGTGAGGAGCAAACATCCCGACAAGCTCGATATTTACTTCATCTTAGACAAAGGAGCGGCTCTTCAGCCCATGGACGTAGAGTTGGGATCAAGTGGAAGATGAAATGTTCTGGTTAAGGGAGGTGAAATGTTGTCTTGATAACCAAGGGAGATTTTTTTAATTGAAGACTCATTCAGTGATTTTACACTTTAGTTTTCGTTTTCTGTTTATTAAGTGCATATTGTTACAACTATTCAATGATAAATTGTGTGAATTGATGACCAATTTACTTAACAACAAAATTATAAAACACAGGAAATTTTTTTCTTTACGGTTAGCGTAGGTAGGTTCACAAAGAGCCAATTGAAATCTTGCGGTCAATCAAATAAGTCAACTTTTTTTTAATCCAACAAGTATTATCAACGTTGATCATAAGATTCCTTCGGCTTAAATAAAGAGAAAATCAAGAATAATAATATCATAGATAAAACATAACCTACTACTAGATTTGTCATCCTTATGGTACAGCTGAAGCCAATTTTATTGTTAGTTCTGTACGTCCAACTGTCGAGGTTGTGTTTTGTTTACTTTTTGTTTCTTGTTATTTCAGTCATTTAAGACACATTCAAGCAAATAAAACGATATAATTATAAACAATAACTGGTCCCCTAGTAACCAATAGTAAAGCACAAATCATGAAAATAACCCTAAAATAATAGAAACAAAATTTTGTCTACCCCAGCGATCAGTATGGACGTACATAAACTAGACACGAAAAACTAGCTTCAAAATTTACAATGGGATGAGGAGTCTACGATGATATTTTTTCCAAAAGGCTTCGTTAACCAGATATCTGCCACTTTGTATTTGTATTTTTTTGTATTTTATCTTTGCATTTTTTAACCGATCTTTATGA